GAAACAATTATGAAAAAGCCACTCAATGAAATGTAATTGTCACCATAATAATAATGATGACTATGTAGCAATGTGGAAAGATACTTATAATAAAAAAGAAAAATTAAAATTTAAAATTGTATAATAGGATTATGATCATGTAAAATCATGTACTATAAAGACAACTGTGACTGGAGTACCATGGGATGAATATACCTCTCTAGCAAGGCTAACCAACTAGGTAGCATCTGAGCACTACTGACTGCTAGGAGGAGGGGAGCTCAATATGAGGTGTGAGTTGCCCCACAAGAGGCCCACCACACATGGATTCTCTCTCAGGAAACTAATTTGCCACATGCCACAAGTCCGTTAATCTATCCCTTGATAATTTGTTTTTGTTTTTTACAATTACTGCAATAGTAGTTGTTACTCTATTTTCTACATTTCTATAAGCTTTATTTTCACAATTGAAGAAGTCAATATATCAATAAAATTAAAAACAATATATCATCCCCTTACACACTTTGTTGTCCCTCAAAGAGTTCACACACTTCCAAAGACACTTCAAGCAAACATTGCTATTTACCCTTGGCCTATCACTTAAACTTTCTCATCTGTAAAATAGGGATTCTCTGAGCTTTGCATACATCACAAGGTGGCTGTACGTGAGAAGAGCATGCATAGAGGGGTGGAAAAACCATAGGATGTACAGCCTGATAGTCATGAGTTCTAATTCTGGCTCTGAAACTCACTAGCTGTGTGACCTTGTGCATATTATAGAACTTCTCAGAGCCTCAAGTATGAGGCAGGCAATATCTACCTTATACAGTATATGCATGTAAAATATTTAAAATAGTACCTGACAGCTAGATAGGAAGAATCAGTTCTAGTGTCTTTAGCACTATAGGGAGACTACAGTTCACAACAATTTGTTGTATAATTTCAAATAGCTAGTAGAGGGGATTTTGAATGTTCTCAATACAAAGAAATGACAAATATTTGAGGTGATGGATATACTAATTACCCTGATTTGATCATTGTACATATGTACCCAAACATCACAATGTACCCCATAAACATATATAATTAGTATGTGTCAATTAAGAAAAAATAAATGGAATAAAATGGAAAAAAGTATTCTAACAAAAAATAAAACAGTGCCTGATATACAACAGGTATTCAATAAATGGTAACTATCAAACAGTGCTTTGTAAACTACCAAATATGTAAGTAAACACAAGTGTTGATGATGATAACAGGAAGAAAAATGGAAAAAAAGTCACGAACAGAATTGGCCAGATAAGAAAGGCACAGAACTTGGAGTATGAAGA